GTTAGAAAACCAAGGAGTATATGAAATCCCCTGCACTGCCTGCCTCACCACATACATTGGACAAACTAACAGAAGAATAAGTGCACGCGTTGAAGAACATAAGAACTCAATCAAAAAAGAAGAACCAACCTCTTCCCTGGTCCAACACCTCAAAGCCACAGGACATGAGATTGACTTTAAAAATACCAGAACTATCGCCAAAACTGAACACCACAGCAGCAGAATAATCAGAGAAGCCATAGAGATAGAAAAACGCCCACACAGCATGAATAAAAGAGATGACACCTCCCGCTTACCAGCCATTTGGAAACCCGCCCTCATGAACAGACGAGTACCCAACATGATAAATGACACCAGACCCACACCCATGAGGGCCACACAAGATGCCACCACCACACTTCCACGTACAAATCAGACTCACACCCACACAGAAGATGAGACACGACCACAGACCAGAAGCCGCACTGCAGCTGCATCACTACCCACTTCAAACTCCTCTGAACCATACATGAAGCGAACTGACCCCCACCATGAAGATGTGGCACGACCACGAACTCGAAGCCAAACGAACACAGACCCAGACCCCAAACTCAAAGCCATATTAAAAACCCAAAATGCTACATCACAGCCACCCGCTCAGGACATCACATCAGAAAACTCAAGAAATTACACCTCAAGAACTCAAGAAGTCACAACACAGCAAATGACCCAGGATATCACAGCACAAGACCAAGGATACCACAGCAATAAATCTCACAAGGTCATCACACAACCCATTACCCAAGCTGTTACTACACAGGAGGCTAATCGAAAAGAGATCAAAACACAAACGACCCAGGAGATTACAACGCAAGACCCAGGATACCACAACAAAAGAACTCACAAGCCCATCACACAACCCAATACCCAAGCCGTTAAAACACAAGAGGCTAACGACCCAGGAGATGACAGCACAAGATCCAGGATATCTCTACAACAAAAGGCCATTACACAGCCCATTATACCAACATCAACTCCATCAACCAATCAAGAGGCTGCAGCACAGCCAACCAGCCCAGCACACCATCCCCCACCACTTGTATATATAGAGAGATGGCAGCTCCGGTCACACACTGCTTGCACTGGCACTAAGCCGAAAGCACCAGCCTGAAGA